GGGTGAATCCACCCAAACCACCACACCATGTCATGCTGTTGGTTCAAAAATAGGTACATATGAAAAGATTTTAAATAAAAACTAATTCAGAGAGAATGTAAATCAGTCCAATTATTGCTCTGCATGTCACTTTTTCTTTTTGAGATGTATTCTTACCTCACTAATGGGACTAGATACAATTCATCTTTTAAAGTGGGAAAAAGGTAGCATAATTTATTTCATCTGTCCATCAGGTTTGTACATATTTTTGATTAATAGAACTAGGCATACAGCAAAAGCATGATTGAATCTTGAAAGTAATTAGCTTTTGTTCTCTTTGTATCACTTTGATACTAATTTTTAATATGCCTTCAAGCAGGTGGAAAGCATGGAAATGTTCCAGTGACTGTTAAGACTGCATACTCAACGCAGCTGTACTTTGTTTCTTTCTTCCAGTGCTGTAGCCCATGAAAGTAAGGAAAGCAACTGCAGGAGTTAAAGCATATAGACAATGCTTTAAAATTAAATTCTGCAGTGTAAGGTGAACAGTAGTCTGTCTTCTTGGGTTAGTGACTTTTTTTTCCCCTTTAAGGTTCAACTGTGTGTCTTGGCTAATGGATACATCAACTTCATTTACAGCAGCTGCCGAGAAATCACTGAAGGTACAAATATCGTGTGACTGTAGATAGTGTCAATAGTACGTACCAAAGTGATGAAATTCCCCACCATTTACTGCTGCACCAAGTAGTATCTGTAATCTGACAGTTACAGAGATGATGTGCCTGTCCAGGATCAACTGAAATGACTCCTGGATCTCCCAAGCTCTGCTTACAGTCCTATTCATATTCTCACTGCTACAATCCACTAATGATTTGAGAAAGAAGATGCACTTGTGGAAAACCACAACTACATGCACATTCTTCGATGTTCTGTCCATTACTTCAGGTTGCAAACCCAAGAGAAAATGCAAGAGCAATGCAGTATGTATATTTGTTTAGGCTTTCAGTTGTACCAAGAACCCTAAAAGCACTATCCCTAAGACAGAGGCACTAGTAAAGTATCAGAAGTGGTAAGTATCCCAAGGAAGTGGAATGGAACTCTTAAGACTCAGATCATACTTTCAGTTCTTCTAGCAGCAACTTTGAGATCTCCTGAGGAAAACTACTACAAATTCTGGTATTTGCAAATATATAATCGAGAGACCTGACAGATCTGCCATTAAAGAAAAATTGTGTACCTGTAAC